TTTCCTATCATTATTTTATTTACTAAAAAATTCGCGCGGTATGGTACAGACTAAAGTTGGTTAAATGTGAGATAGATTTATTATACGCCACATTTTTCCGCGAATAATGCACGTTACTCCACCAACTTTAGATTATATCGATATTCATCCAAAGTTAATATTTAGAACAATAAAAACGTTAAATTAAAAGATCTTCAATAATACGTCTATAAATATCTGAAATTACAAACAAGCAAATATAATAATGTCTTGATAACTGTCGCATAGCATATAATAACTTTACGACTGTTAATGAGACTTTATTATATTTATATGTGTTGAGTGTATGGCCGTTCACACTCTATCACATCGTATATAATTCGTAGATTTCAAATGATATCATTATAAACTAAGGAACCTGTCCAAAAATTTATTCTACTTGCTGTCAGAACTGCTTCCAGTGTTGGACAATGCCATTAATAAAAATTTGTTGTCGTCCACTTTGAACTCGTTCACTCACAATTTAAATTTTAATTAATTCTAATAAATACTTCATAAAAAAATTTGTTAAAACAATCTTACTTTAATTCATTTAAGACAATGTCGATTTTGCTTCCACTTTTTTTTTTTAAAGATAAAAAGAAAAAAATTATTTATATTTTTATAATAATCATTAAGAATGAGAAGTCAACGAGCTCCAGTAGTACAATAACTCCATTTTTCGTTATATACGTGTACTCTAATGTAAAAAATTTGTAGAGTATAAAGTATTGTGTACTAACTTTTCCATTTCATCGAAATCTTTATGTTAATCTATAAACTTTTTATAGTTACATACAAATTAGGCAAAGAAGATACCTAAAATCGTATGTTTTTTTTTTTCGTTTTTATCATTTAACATTAGAATTTATGTCCACTTTCGATAAATATTGCCGATGTAATTTTTATTTCATAAAAGATCTACTTTTCAAGCTCGTCTATACAAGTTGTCATTGGTAGCATTGTATCATGACCAATGGCTCACATCGCATTGTAATTAACACCGTGTAAATTGATTGGCATTGTAGTGCTTGGTAATGCGTAATCCGTATGTCTGCTATCGATATAACCGCTTAACATCGTATGAGGACTATGAGTGGTCAGCATGGTATGCGTGCTATGGGTATTGTGTGTACTGTGTGGAGTAGTGGGGGGACCCATTGGCGTAGGACTCTGCGAATTAACCGGCTGCGCTGCCTGAGCTGGTGGCGGTGAGGAATTCACTTCTTGCTTAACTCTCGATTTCAAACTGGGTCGATTATTCGGATAACCGCGCTTTTTGTATTCCAACCAAAGTGTTCGATTATTTACACCGAACATCCTAGCCGCTTTACAGAAACCTATGCCACCGTATCGTACGGCGTCTAACGCCCTGATAAAGTTCTCATCTGCTTGTGGATTTGTCGATCGTTTTCTCTTTATTGCGGTTTGTGGACTGGCGCATGGGCTCTGGCAGTTACTCGGGCACTGTGTCGACGGTGAAGGGCCGCTCGACGATGTGTGCTGCAATGTCCCCCCGTGCGAGGAATTCGGATAATTCGTCAGGGCGCAACTGGAACCAGTTGTGCTGGTACCAGAATACTGATCGCTGATGGTCGAAGAAGCTGTTATTTCGGGCGTGGTAAAAGCTGATGATGCTTGAATCGACAGATTCGTTTGACACGAAGACAGAGCGAAACGTGGATATGTATGCTCCATAATAGTCCATTGCAATCCTGTGGAACAGACCGGTTCATACTTTGGTCAGAGCACAGGAATTATTTTGTTATTTGCTGTATATATGTTTTCATATTAGCGCAATGATAAAAATATACTAATTACACGTATATTATATATATTTATGAGATGTGTTTTGACTAGAAAAATGATACATTCCTATGATATAATAAAATTATGACAATAAAAATTTTAATATATATTATATAAATATATTGAAACCTAATAGCGGTAATGTATTGTATGATATAATAAACGAAAAGAACAATTCGGCAATAATTGGCTTAATCATAATAATTAAACTATAAAATTGAAAAAGATGTCTAATGAAATAAGTTGCTACTATGTGTGTAGAAAAAATGAAGATGCTAAGCTGTAAGCAGAAAAGAATTAAAAAAATACTTATAAAAATATCTATATGAAATTAATGATATATATATGGGAATATTAAGAACAGAATATTGTGGCATGGCACAGATACATTTTAAAGCACATTTGTCATTCATCTTTGGTATAAAAAAATGTGTACAAATTTATTACGTAAATTAAAGGACAGAGTAAGGCACACATACACACTCAACAATGTTTAAGGCCCGATTTTACTGTCCTCTAAAAGAACATTATACATTGTGTGCTATGTATCTGTGTACCATGGTGAATTTCATGAATGAAACTAACCTTATAGAAATTTGCACTACTAATTAATAATATTTTTTTTCCTCTCAATTTTCGCTCTATTTTCATGTCAAACGTCTGTTGATTTGTGCAGTACATTTAAACGCATCTGTGCCAGCATATAATGTAAATATTATTTATTCACATGCAATTTTAATACTCATTACGTTCGCTATAGATTGTGTTTTACTACTAAATAACTAAAGTATATGTGTGAAAAACAGATATATCATGCATATTTAAAATGAAATTATTGCCGCTTGTGCACAAATAAAGAACAGAATTAGCAAATATGTTTGATAAAAATCGAAACAGTATTCAAAATATAATATTTTTATATTTTTTATACAATCTATAGATTTTAATTATTAATCATAACCTTAATTTTAACATACACTTTTAATTAGATTAAATTTCGTTGAGAATAAATCAAATTTTTTTATTTATTTTTATATCCTTTAATAGCATACTACTGGACGAGTAGAATTCAAAAATATAAATTTTAGATAATCAATGTATCAGAATTTATGAATGTATTTAAGAATCTATATTACATATATTATATATATGATTTAGACTATATTAGATTCGTTTATAATCCGTCGATCCGTATTTTTAAAAACATAAATTTTAATACATTGATATAATTTTAAACATAAAATTTATATTTTTGAATCTTATTTATCAGATATTAAAAGACACAGAAATGAATAAAAAAAACATTTGATTCTTTAAATGAGATTTAGCTTTTAGTTAGAATTAATTGCGAATAGTATATATAAATGTTATATAAAAATGCTGTATATAAAAATATTGTTTAAAATTTAATATTAATTTCAATATCTTTTAAAATTACCGCTTATAAAAAGAATATAGATTTTAAATATTTTTTATTAAATATATTTAAGAATAGAAAGTTTTCTTCTTATATTATATATTTTTTATATTCATACATATAGTTGTATCAAATATACAAAAATAATTTCAAACTAATTGCATATGTTATAAAAACTTACCTTGATGTGCAGGAGGTTGTGAAGGAACTGAACTTTGGGCTACATTTCCTCCTGATTGTTGACTTACATCTTGTATCGAACCATCACTTTGTGCTGGTGTTGCTGTTGAACTATTCTCCATATTACTCATCTAAAATTAATTAAATTATGATTTTATATCTTAATATTATATATAAACAATATAATAACATTATATGTAATATATACATAAAAAATTATAAAATTTATTTATAATTAATTATATACAATTATATTTTTTACATATATAAATATTCAACAAATAATATAACTATAAAATATACTTACAATTGATATTTGATCCTCATCAATGCTTCCTTGAGATTCAGTATTTGTATTAACAGGTCTTCTTATATTTTCATTATTTTCTTGTGAAACTATTAATGGTTCTGGTTTTACAATATTGGTAGCAACTAAAGTAATTTCATTTATTTCTTCTGGCTTATCACCAGATCCAGATGTTGACCCTGTTGATGATTTTCGTAATCTCTTTCTTCGAAAGGATGGTGACAATGGAGAAGGACTGGGTGAACAAGATTCTCCACGATCTCCTCCTCCAGGTTCACTACTACCACTTGGCCATTTTGTTAAAGAAGCATTGTGCATTTCTGCAAGCCCTTTTATTTTCAAACTCTCTGCAGTCTAAATAAAAAAATTATATTGCTATTCTTAGCTTTTTAAAAAATATAATAATTAACAAAATTAATATTTTGATATTGCACCTTTATAATAGATGATAATTGATCTTGTGATATATTTACTTCACCATAGTACATAAAATCAACTATGATTTTCAAATCTGAGAATTTTACATCCTTTAATATCACAATAGGGTGTTGACATGGATTCACAGTAAACAATGACTGAAAATATGTACTACATGCAGATAGAACAACTTTGTGTGCTTGAAGATGCCTGCCTTCAGCAGCTAATGTCACATCCACCAAAGTCTCATTATTTAACAAATTTGAAAACACCGAAATGAAATTTGGTTGATGATTGTTCCATCGTAAACAGAATTGCTGCATCGACATTGCAACAAATTGTTAAATTCTTTTCAAGCACTATAACCACACCTGTAAAATCATTAGTCACTTATTTGCCTATTAATATAAGTCTTTAATATCTTTAATATAAGTGAAATATCATGGAACATTATTAAAATACATTTCACAACATTTTCAAATAAATCATTTTAAATAAATTTCACATATATATGTACCGACACGAAGAAAGAGAAAACAGAAAACAAACAGTTTACAATAAATAAAATTATCAATACTCTGAAAATTCGTGACAATAATTGTAAATATCAAGTCATCATCGAAACGTATAATTTCTTTCGTACATCACAAAACTTTTGAAGGATTTACATTAAAAACACAATTTTTGCTATCGTCGTTGGAACATGATTAAACTCAAATAAAATATTTAATGACGATAAAAACTTGAAAAATTAAATTAACATCACAATCAAGCAAGTTGTCATACTATATATAAAAAAAAAAAAACAAAAGAAGAACTGTCCAACAATACGGTTACAATCGCTTCACACAATAAATATAGATTTGCATGGTGAACATAACGAAAAAGGCAGGTAAAGCGGAATTGCTCACTTCGTTTGAAGAAGTATTCCTTGAAAATAATATCACTATTAACAAAACATCCACTGGATAACACGACGTATTTCGATGCGTTGTTTAAGTATTTATTAGGAAAAACAGATTTCACTCGGTGCTGCCATGGATTCGATGAAATTTTCCACAACAGACTGAGCGATGACGCTTGTGTAATTCACAAATGACGTCATAGGCGAAAAATTAAGATTCCACGTATGGCGCGCGGCAAACTCAATGAAAATAGTTTCAATGAATATATTGATATCGCAATAAATTTCGCATATAATTGACAAATATGAGATCTTATCAACGTGCGTCCTTAGAAAATCTAACTTGATCAATATAACGGCCGACTAAGAGTGACATCTATCGAGGATCTGTCAAGCACAACATTTTTTATATCTTTCGAAATATTTTTCTTTTCGTTTGAAAATCTTTTTATCTTTGAACAAGGAATATATACAAGATATATAAAAAGAATTGAAATTAGTGCTAGGGTCGTAGATAACGTAAAATTGAAACAATTCATGATTTATTGAAATTATTAATATTTTACTCCATCATTATGCAAACACATTTGATAATACATAATGGAAATGTTTTATTTTTCTATATAAGTGACAAAAAAAATGGTGCTACAATTATTATAAATTAAATAAATAAGTAAAAATCGTTTATTTCATGTTAACAAAAAAAAAAAATTCTGCTAACTAATAGTCACCAACATTTTGTACGTATATCTATAAGTATACAGATTAATTCAAAATTTACAGATGTTCATTGAAGCAACAATTTGTGAAGTGAAGTGTATTAATTATCACCATTTAAAACACATATTTTCTCTTTTTCTATCTTTCTTTCTGTCGCTCGTCCTTCAGAGAAATTCGTGTGCTTCTTTTACAAATCGTATTCGTTGTATTTTAAATTAAAATAAAAAGAAAAAACAAAAAATTTGAGATTCAAATATATAATTACACTATACAGTATATGTATATACATATACTGTGAGGTATATTCATTGATGATAAATGTAATTGGTAGAAAGAAAGGTGCATTTACATGGATATTGCTTTTAATAGTTGTTTAAGGAACTTAAAATTGGAATTTTATCTGTAATGTCAAATCGATTCGTGGTACAAGAACAAGAATTTCCTTTTAACTTGCGAATGGACCCTTAATTTGGGGGTTGTACTCTTATTGCTATCTAATAATATTAATTTATATTGAAATTCTCATATAACAATTTGATATTATAAATTTTGATGTAATAGCATTATATTTATAAAATCTTTTTCTTCTATGAACTTGACCTCATTTAATCTCAGAATTATATTTGATTTTGTCATTTCGTTTTGTATTAATTGATTAGCAAAAGAAAATTTGTTCCTATATTATGTTAGTATGATATGCATCTTTTGATCATTTTTAAAATTTTTTTTTAAGAGAGCTTAATAATACGCAAATTAGATACAAATATATATAAATAAATAAGAAGTATGGCGATTCTTTTCTATTTTCGCCATCGAGCACTTTCTTATTAATGGTGGACGAGTACTCGTTTTCTACAAATATATTTCCCATCTTGTTCTTACTATCCCGGCGTCTAAGGCACGGGTCTGCCAGAAGATTTTACTAATAAATCCTCTGGTAGTCCCAGGACGAATCTTTTTCTTTCCTTTTCTTCTCTTTCCTCCATTAATTTTTCTTTACAGCACCACAAGAATATAACTTATTGTGCGTTAATTATGATGCGTTATTTCAAATCGGATACGTTGTTAAGTATTCTATTAAAATATTATTCAAGTACATTAGAAACCATAATTAAAAAAAATAATGAAAATAAAAGTAAGTACTACATAGAATACAAACAATATCAACACTGGTATCATAATATCATTTTTATAATATCAATATAAAAGAAATTATTATGATAAAAAAATATAATATCGTAAAAAGATGTCCGATTCGATATTGGTAAAATCTCTTTTGCAATCCAGTATAATACTATAAAAATACTGTGCAAAAAAAATTGAATGTTTACCTCAAAAAAGAATTATATCTGCATGAAATTGAAATATGTGAAATAAGTGCATAAAATATCAAATATCACAAAAATGTTTTTGAATTAAATAAAAAGAATTTATGCATCTGCCTATTTTTTTTCTTCGAGATTTTTTATATTTCTTGAGATGAAAAGAATTCTATTGCGATGATTGATTTTTAATCTTGTTTTTATTAAAGATTATTGAAGTAGAAAAAGAAATAAATATAACTCGCGATAAAATTTTTTTATCTAAAAAATGGACTTAAAAATAAAAACGATCACAGATGCATAAATTTGTTTCGGATATCCGAAATATTTCAATTTACTAGGCTTTCACTGCTAGGCCGTGGTTTAATGACCAGATTCTGTAAGGCTCTTATTTCGTTTTCTGTGAGATTTGGAGGTCCGAATAGAAACTCTCTATGAGAACTGGGATTAGATAGAAGATCTTGCATGTTCTCATTAGTTAGCATTAAATAATGCAGAGAAGTTTGAGTTAAATTTACTTTCCTAGCTAATGTCCCGGTAATATGAACATCATCTATCCAGAAGTATGGCTCTTTCTGCGCTTCACGATACAAAAGAAATACGCTATCAGGAGAGTACAATATAGCCCATCCTGCGCAATATGCAGGATAATGTCTACCAGGATATTCTTGAGGGGAGACTCTCCACTTAGATCGCCAAGATCTCTTCACGGTACCTGTGGGGTGGAGATCGCAAAGGATCAATCGCCTGGCTCCCCATGGTGATAGATCACGCGTCAAGAAATCCAACATGGCAGGTATATGAACAAAAACATCATCATCTAATTTTAATATATATTTGGCACCTGAAAAAGTAGATAGATCAAATATTTTTAAAAAAAACTTACACGAAAAGAGTTAAGGATTTTTTATAAAAATTTTTTTTTAACGTTATTAAAAAAGATTTATATATTATACTTAATAATTAATAAATTTAAATATATTCAATGATTTAAAATATGTTAACTAATGTTAATTTTTAATAATTAAAATTGAAAGAAAAAAATAAAAAAAAAATAAAATTGACTATTCAGTAGAAAAAAATTTTTTTGAACAATTAATAAAATAAGATTTATCTATAAAATTAATTACTTAATATTTTTTAAATAATTAATAACAAAATTTTGTTATTAATTTAAAAAGATTAATGTTATTATATATATATTAATATAATATATAAATAAATATATTATATAATGATAAAAATAAAAAATTTGTCAGTCTATTTCAAACATCTCGCGTAGTACAAAAAACATGCTTACTTGGACAATGATACGTAGCCCATTTCAATGCCATCACATGCTTATAAGTCATGTTTCTGTAGGCATCGAGAAAGTTGCCTTGTATCAAATCTTTGTATTTTCTATTTTCCTCCTCCAACATCGTTTGGTATTCATCAGATGAGCCAACGAAGAAGAGGAGCGCCACATTTGACGATTGCTGGCCCCAGGTTTCCCTGACTACATTTCTCTTCACAAAATTCTCTGGAGCCGAGTGAACCAACATCAACAACAATAGATGTGTTCCGTTACATGGATTATTGTTGATCGTGAACCGAAAGTCTTTTATATCAATAAGAGTTGATTTGTCACCGAACGGAAGTTCGTGTAATAAGTATGGCTGCGGAGAGGGTGTCACGTTTCCGGGTAAGATTAATAGATATCCCGGTGCCGATACGCCACTGCTGTATGGCGTCGGTGAACCGGAATTGTCGATGTGAAGCCAGAAGGAGAAGCATCCAGTCAGTGCCAAAGCGACCACAAAAATCAGAGTGCAAGGCGACGTACCGGAGGCATGGAGTCGCCGCTTATCCAGCATACTAAAAAGTCCCTTACATCATACAAATCTGAGTCCGGCTAAAAAAATAAACATAAAAGATTAATCACTTATATTATATAATCAATTATATTTTATCTTAAATATTTACTTTTATATATGAATTAATATGGATTAATAGTTTATTTTGTATATTTTTAATATAGACAATTGTAAAAGAATCCGTTGTCGGTACTGAACTGGTTCAAATTATTTCGAACTTGTTTCGAGAACAACAGTTATTTCGTATCATTAGAAAACATGTGTGGCGCATCTGTTGCTATAAATACTATCTTTTATTTTGCTTATATATATTTTTAATAGATAACAATTTGTAAAATGTTATTGTGTGGATAGTGATAATATAAAATAACACAATTGATAAATTTTCAATTAATTATAATAATTATAATCAACTAATAAATTAAATTTGAATATCAATCCAGCAATTTTTCAATATCGCAATACGTTAACTTTTGAATTAGTTTACGTTCAGCTCTACAAAAGCATTATAAAGACAGTCGATTATCAATATTTCAACTATACCTTGAACTAATGTTAGACTTACGTTATTGGTATTATTCATTAATAAATAGTGAAACAATTTACAAGTTGCTAAAGACTTCAAGGAGATGAATAATAAATCTAACTGATAGTGTATGTCAAGTGAATTGTGAAAAATTTAAATATATATATATATATATATATATATATATATATATATATA